GGAATTAAAATCTCACAGAAACAAGTATTGATTTTAAAATAGAAGCTCAAGAAGCAGAATAGTTCCTTCTGGATTGGGGAAAAGATTAAAGGGTTCATGAAGGATGCAGCATTTAAAAAATGTATGTTAAAAAGTCCAGTGTGTAACACTTGTTCACAATCTATCTTCTCTGATAGACTACATATAATGAGGCCAGGAACAATGTCTAGCTTGTTCACCTCTGTATATGCAGTAAATAAAGCAGTACTCTATACATATTAGGCACTTAATGAGTATCTGACTAATTGACTTATTGTCTATGATATTAATATGCCGAGATACAATACAGGAAATTCTAGGAAAAGTGAAAAACATGAGAAAATGCCTTAAATTTCCTTTGTTTCCCCCTATCCTTTTAATCTCTCTTATCCCTTCAAGGATAGTTGAAGTTCCAGCTCATCCCCCCGATTCTTCCTGCCACACTAATCTTTCCAACTTGTCCAAACTAGTTCTACCTAACATGGTCTAATATTTTAGTGTAGCACTACTCAGTATTTTAAAGCCTAGGGCTCATTTCCTTTAATCGTTATTAAAAGGTGCCTTTTTCTATTATTTAAATTTTAAAATATATTGTACTGCATGACTGAAAGCAAATCAGAGCACTACTTAGCTTCAAACCACATTTCTTTCATTCCTTTACTTCTCCAAGAGAATCTTATCACCTCTCTCCCCCCAATTTGGGCAAGTCTTCCCTTCCTCTTCTGTTCTAATACCCTACCTCATCACTATTTATGTTCAATGATCAATGTTTACTAATTTAAGACGTAGTATTATTCCTTAATAGACTAACATGTAACTCATTTCCTCAGCTCTTTCTTTTCCTGAGGATAGAGATCATGTCTACTACTTCTTCATTGTGACTAATGCAGTGTGTTACAGACACTTGTTAATTACATGTCCTCGCACACCATTCACCAGTCTACTTGTCTTCTAAAATTGCTACTGCTCTGCTAAGAAGAAAACACTTCTTTCAAAAAGCTAAATCCAAATAATTTTTGCAACATGATTAGAAAAGGCACAGAGAAAGGTACTTTCTAGTAATGCTGCATAGTCATACCTGTAATAGCCAGAAAACTTACAATGCTGGTGTTCTGTAACTGGCACTATTGCATTTATGTTATATGTTGACATTAGCCTCATACAGATGACTGAACTTAAACTGGCTTTGAATTTAAGTTGGATGATCTTGTGTTAAATTGTAAAGAATAAAATTAAGACTATGAAATATTGCCTATTTACCAATGGTGTCTAAAAGAAATTGAAAAAATAGTTTTTAATTTGAGGGGAATAGAATCATACCTCTAACCCTTTATAGAAAAAATTAGGTCTTCTTTTTTAACATTCATATGTATCTTTAGAAATGAATTGTGTAAAAAACAGAGAATCTGCTTTTAAACTACAAATCAACTGTGGTCAAATATCACAAATACAGGCAGCTGCCTACTTTTCATCTTCCTTAGACAACAATTAGCTGTAGTTAGTAAGTACAGACACTTCAAAGCAATCAAAATTCTTTACCCCTTAGACTTTCAGCAACCATTCCTAGTTCTTGGTCCCTAAATTGTGTCTCCACGTGAATCCCATTCACTTCCCTTAAATCAATTCCATTATTTGCCTTATTTTTCCTCAAATCATTACACAGCTCTTATTCTTCCCAGAAATCAAGCTAGACTGAGTAGCAAAAATAGGCATATAATCTTATGTAACGCTGTCAGGGCTATCTCAATATGCCATTATACTTACAACTTCAAGAAGAAGTAACAGTCAGTACCCTTTTAAAAGAAGAAGATTTAGAATCCACTTAAAAAATTAGAAATAATTTTTATATATTCTCTAATAGTGGGGTGTATGTCTGTGTATGGATGTATCCACAATATACAAAATATTTCCCCCAAGCAGTCTTAGAAGTCATAAAGGATTTAATCCATTGCTAAGAAATAGTATCAGCCCCTCTCTCTCTCTCTCCTCTCTCTCTCTCTCTCTGTCATATGTGTGTGATAATGAATGATGAAATAATAAGCTCACCCTCTGGTGGACAAAACCAGAAATACATTTCCATTTTCCTGGATTATATCCAAAATATGATTAATGTGGTGTATTAAATTTCTGCTTCATATTTAACCTAGACCAAAAATAGATCTAAAAGAAGGCCACTTGCTTAAAAAAAAAACAGGTCTACTATAATACCTAATGGAAAATCAACAAAATTATTAAATATAGTAATTTAATAATTACTTAAGGCAGCATTTGATACTCAACGCTAGTTTGGTTTTAAAATATTGAAACCATAGAATTTAGAGTAGGAAGGCATTACAGTGATCATTTAGTCTATTCCCCTCCTATTTAAAACTGCAAGTTAGATAATAAAAAATTAATTTTTATTTCATTTTGTTTTAGTTGTTTAATCTGTTAATTAATAACATGAAAAACAAAGTCTGCATCAATAGAAGAACTGACTAGTAATGAGACCTTTTCTCATGTTTCTTTTCTTATGTTTCCATTTTTAATTTACAAATAGCCCAAGAATTAGGAAAAAATTATACCACATGTAAGTTTATTTTAATTTCCTGCCCACTTTATTCGACCATTGAACAGATATTTATTGCATATCTATTATGGTTTCTACGGCATGTGCTGGAATTACAACAGTCCCTGCTTTCAGACTAGTGAAGAAGGGAACAGGTAAGCAGTAATTTCAGTATAGTATGATGAGTGTGACAATAAAAGCGAACACAAAGTAATAAGGCTACTAAAGTAGTAGGAAACATTGCATCCAAAGGGCTGGAGGTGAGGGAGAATGTGGAAATTGGGAGAAGCTACAGAAGCACGGTTGGAAAGAAGCCTGAAAAGGAATGGTCAGAGATTTAAGGAAATCTGGAGAATACGGTGTCCCAGAGAGATCAACAATGTCTAACACTGGAGAGAAGACTTAAACATACCCACCGGATTTAACGATAAGGAAGTTATTGGTGTTCTTGGAGGAACAACCACCAGCTGAATTAGCTGGAAAGAATGAACGGGAGTCAAGAAAGTGCGTACAGCAAATGTGGACAATACTTCCAATTCCTTTTGCTGTGAAGGGGAGGACGATAATGATACAGAAAGATGGGGAATAGAGGTTTCTTAAAGGTGATGAGTCTAGAACATGTATAAAAATAATGGAAAAAAGGCAATACTGAGGGAGTGTTTGTAGATAAAATTCATTTATAGGGAGCTTTTATGCAGATACTAAGTAGACAGGCAGGGATGGGATCTAGAGCACAGGAGAGATACGGGGCATTTAGATGTCTTTTTTAAAAAGCTGAATCTTTGTGCTTTTTAAATTGAACAACATGCAAAATTACCTTTGAAAATAATACAATCTGTGCAAAACTACCCTGAAAAGGGGTAGCACCTCTCAAATTTAAAGAAAACATTCTTGTATGTTAACTATATTTGGTTAAATAAAGTATCACTATTAACCTACAAGTCTGGTATTTCAGGACTTGAATTAAATGTTTCTGGATAGCCTAGTACCACAGTACTGAACTAACCCTTAAAAAATTATTTACTTAAAGGTCCAAAAACGTCACCCAGTGTTATATTCATTAACTAGCTGGTTCCCTTGGGTTTTCATTCACTTGGAAGAAAATTTAACTTGAAACAAAATATCTTTCTTTTCTACTAATTGAAAATGGGTCCATAAGATAGCTGGAGTTTTCTTCCTCTAAAAAGTGAGTGATGGGAAGGGAAAAAAAAGGCTTGGTATGTCTAAGTGGTGACAGCAGTGGAAGAAAAGGCTTAAGTGCTCACTATTCTTTCTTGAGTCTTCATGATACCATTTGATGTCATGTATCATCCTATTATAAAGTCTTTTTAACCTTGGGGCAAAGATAGCAACATTATTGTATGCTTTTGATAACACAGACAGATAATTTATTTCCTGCAACTCAACACTCTGTGAAATAGAATATGTGGTCACATTTATTTGACTTCTAAAGCATTTGGCAATTAATAAAATGCTCTCAAGATTGCATTACCTTTTAAGACATCATCTGAAGAATTCAAACTGCTAGATAATGACAACCCATTTTACAGACATCTAATCAAGGGCCAAAAATCTAAGTGATATTTAAACTACGTGCTAGCATGTGCTGGGTAAAAATAATCTGCTGCTTTACTGGTATTCATATTTCAAAAGCTGACATTTAGTAGCCAAGTATTCTGTTACTGATACGGTTACACAGTTCTTAATTGCTTAATATAGTTTTTCACGCACTGTATTACTTCACTAAATGCTATTTAGATTTCATATCTATTATGTCAAAATACATTTAATAAAAATAATCCACAAGTAAATTCATTTAAAATTCACTGTCAGAACAAAATATTTGTAGTGTTATGATTAGATTTTGGCTTCTTCAATACAAAAATGAATCTCTCCAAATTTTGCTTTAATTATATTTTCTCTTTGGAAAATTAAATATGGTATGTAATTAAATGGCTGTTTCTGCATTCACATTTTCTGTTTTTCCCTTTTAATGATTTTATTAGTGTGGTCACAAGTTTGACATCCACAGTACATTGATAACATAGCTGAATACAGTATTTGAAATAAGTTACAAAAGTGTGGCAAGTTTTAAAATGTCAACTCTGAGTGATGGTGTGTTTCTCATGCATTTTCATCTGTACTCCCGAACTGCACAACTCAATCTGTGCTTATCTTTGCTGGGTTAAGTGTATGCCTCAGCTAGGCTGGGGCAGGAGCTGTTTGCCTTTTTGCAGACCCAGATTTTCAAGAGCAACAGTGTTGAACTCAGGCATTCCATGGAGCATGTTGGCAACATCAAGTTTTGCTTTGGTTCAGGTAAAAATGCAATGACTGACTACTGCTTGTGTGAGCCACCCGATTCCCCAAGGCTTAGGCTAGCATAAAGGGTATTTCAGTATCCTGCCATGAGACCAGCAGGCAGTTTCTGTACATGTTTCCTTGGGCAGGAGGCTGGGGTAGTGTCTAGAACTGAGACTCGCACCAACATGCTGTCGGTGACAGAGCTGGAACCAAGATGAAATTCATAGTAACTTTTTCTCATCAAAGGTATTAACAGTCCAGGCAACAACCTGAATGCTTTTTAGTTGGCTACTTCTTCAAGAGGATACAAAATTCTTTTGCGTGAGGAAAGCTAGAATTCCACATAGGTATCACAAGATATTATGTATGCTCCAAGCAAACAAAATGCCCACTACTTCAAACAAAATGCCCACTACCACAAACAAGGGCTGTGTCCAGAGTGTCACAGTCCCATCCCCCGCATGGCTAAGGCTCCGGAGTCTGTGAGTTAAAGCCATTACTACTTGTCTGTCTCATCTTATAGATGACTGCTGGCAAGAGAGAGCAAATAACACTGTTACTGTAAAGTTGCAGAAACTCCATATAGATTTTTCTTTAGATCATCAGTAGCCATATTTGCACGGCCTTTGACATCAAAGAAGATTCTGAGGTTATGGTTCAGGCACTCTGCCCCAGTTTCCCTCAGCGTAGGGATCTTCTCATCAGGGAAATTAGTCCTGAATCTGTAATCTGCTGCAGGATTAAGCTGTCTAATTTGTTCAAATGTCAAATCACACATCAACCAGTCCTATCAGTCGTTGTAGCTACATGTGCATTAAGACAGGAATCTCATCAGAAGTAAACTCAGCGTCCAATTGTTCTCAGCGGTACCATGACCGCCGCTGCCGGGCACCGGCAGGAACTCGGCCCTGGGGCTTGAGCACCAGCAGAGCCCTGCGCAGGGCACATGAGCAAGGCTGAAGAGGTGCAGAGGCTGCTGGCGAAGAGGCAGGCACTGAAGGAGCTGCACATCACCAACCACAGCAGCAGCAGGAAGGATAAGGGGACGCAGAGGTCCCCTGGTCCTCCCACAGCCACATGCCTGTGACTACACCACTGAGGAGGCAGTTTGGGATCCACTGGGCTCCTGGCCAGGCCATAGCACAGGGATAAAGCACAAGGCACTTGGTGCAGCTGGCCTATTTACTTTTTATTTCAGGGTTTTTTTTTTTGATGAATAAATCAAAAGTGTATAGGATTTTATAGAATTCATTTGAGTATTACTTTTTAAAAGCTTACCTGTAATTTAACTTACCAGTCATAAATGAAATGTGTCCAGATTTCCTATTATATTAGTAAGAACCACACATTAAAAAATTATTTCTATTTTAATAATAAAGGATATAATATGGACATGAAATGTAAATGCATATAAGTTAAAGACGATTATTTATGTATATCAGTTAAATTGATTAGCATTTAGTTGATCAACAAATAACACACTAAACTTTGAAATAATTCATCTTAGTTTGATAATCTCAAGCAAAATTATTTCCTAAAAACAGTGTTTAAGATATAAGGGAATACACACAATAATATATCCATTCTTGTCGTTCATTCAGAGGCATTACATGTTGACAAACCTGCATACAAAAATAGAAAGCTTTTACTTTCTTTTTATAAAGTGTAATGTTTGGTCAATTTTTCAATAGGACATTACTAGAAACTATTTTAAAAATATCCTTGTGCAGGGATAGATAAAATTCAGATAAAATTCTAGAGTATTTGTCCTTAGCAGGGATCTGCAATCTAAGATCTGATATCTAACAGGATAATCCAGCCTAAATTCTACTATAACACAGTAACTGATAGTTGGTATTTGTGAATGTGGGTAAAGAGGGATGGTGGGAAGGGAATATCTTTTCCTTACTAAGCCTAAAATACTTTTAATAATCCTCACTGGGATAACAGAAAAGATAAACTCTCTTTATCCAGTTTTAGAATGTTTTAGGATTTCTTGGACAGTATGGAGAAAGAAAGGGTAAGAACAGAAAGCTTTTTTGTTTTTCCCTTGATTAGACTAGCTTCAGGGTCTAGTTATCTCTCCCTATCTTTAATCTCCTGGCTGAATCAGAAAACTGGAGTTCTGCTAACACCAGAACTTCAGCTGTTCCTAGTTACTGACTTAGCTGGTTATATAAAACTCAGAGGCATTTTCTCTTTTAGGTCATCTCAGAAAAATCTTAATAATTTAGATAAAATATGCTGAATTATCAAAATTCCTATTACTATTAACACTACTTCGTATTTCTATCTAATGTTCAAAAATGCTTTCATATATATCATTTTTTCCCTTTACATTAATTTTGTGAAGTACCTAAAACTGGTGATATTATGTTAATTTTAGATTTAAAGAGATTGGCACAGAGAGGTTAAGTGAATGTCCCATTATCACCGAACCAAATACTGAGAACTGGATTAGAACCAATCTCCTACCTCCTAGTACAGGATGATACTAATACAAAAGTCATACATAAATAATTTTCTACTTTACTTTACATCTACACATTTATTCATCACATTAATAGCAAGAAAATTTTTTTCAAATTGATAAAACAAAAGGCCTTAATTAGAAAACAATGCATTACCATTGTAGATTTTGGTGCCACTTCTACTGCAAATATGTTGAGTCCTCTGTTGTTTACGCAGTTTTTACTTAGCTCATTGTTGACGTGAATAATCACTTTATTATCTGACTACAAAAAAAAGATTTCATAAATTGTTAATCCTTTCTTTACTAAATATATACAAATAAAATGATAATTACAAAACATTTTGCAAGTCTTGTGATAGAGGTATTCACAGGGTTCTATAGAAACATAGAAGATAATATAGAAATAGAAACATAAGCTCAGATTAGGGTATCAAGGAAGACCTTACGAAAGAAGTGAGACCTTACAGAAGAAGAGATACTAGATCATAGATAACAGCCTCTAGGATGGAGAACAAGCAAGAGAAAGCAGGATGGAGCTGATAAATGAGAGAACTATAGGAATCAAAGTATTCCCCTGCTAAAGAACCTGCAGTCACTTTCTAATGACTACAAAGAGGCAATATAACATTAGACCAGCTGGAGTCATTTCTCAGCAATTCTACTACTTAGCTGTGTGACCTTTCCAAGTTATTTAATGACCCTGTGCTTCAGTTTCCTTGTGTGTAAATGGGGATAGTACTTACCTCACTGGGTTGCTGTGAGAAGTAAATGTGTTAAAGTGCCTGGCACATGGTAAGCTCTAACATCACTACCTCATTTTGGTGAAGGGAAATTTAATTTTCCTTGAGGGAAAAGGAGGTGGAGGGTTGAAAAATGAAGAATTGCCTTCAGAGCAGAGGAACTGGGGTGGGGTAGTGACTCTCTTCCACCCTTTATTCCTAATAAAACATAGAGGGCACACACACCAAAACCCCTCCTACACAAGAATCAAAAACAAACAAATAAACAAAACATGGAGAGGAGAAAGGGAAACATGCCAGATCTTAGGAATCACTCTCCAGGGCTTTATGATCTATTTGAAGACTGCAGTCTACTAGCTGGTGACTCTGTCTTATTTCATCAAGTCTAAACTCCTCTACCTTGTTTTCAAGATAACATATATAATCTGGACTCATTCAGTTTATGTTATTTACCTTCCAAATACTCCTCCAAATAAAGCTCTCTGCTTCTGCAAAGGTGATATTCTCACTTTTTCATCCATAGTTCACATTAACTTTTTCTGATGTTTCTCCTTACACTGTTTCCTCTGTTTCTAAAGGCTGTCTCTCTATATGTCTAAATCCTAGTTATCTTTCAAATCCCATACCACATGCTCAAATCCCACATCACAGTTCCCTTCCCCTGAGTCACAAAACAAGCCCTCCCCCAACTTCTGCAGTCCAAACTAACACCAACTACAAGAGATATGAATACAGTAAAACTCTTATTGCATATACAAACAGTACTATATAATTTAACATTTCATTATTCTCCAGTCTCTTTCAAGACTATCATTCTGACTTAACTACTAGCCCATGAACTCTTTGAACGCAGAGACAATGTTATACTTTCTGGTGGCCCTTACTGTGACTAGGAGCATTAGTTACATAATACATACTCACACCAACTAATACTCAGCCTAATCTTAAGTACTTCAAGAAATTTATGGCAGACATAAAAATAATATAAATCTCATTGAGGAACTAAAAGAAATAAGCCAACAGTTCTAAAAACCCAGTCATGTTGTGTAAGATTTTTATAAGAATTTGTAATTTACAGAAAACTGGATATCTCCCACTTTAAGAATTTATGTATGTATTCTCTTGATGTGCAATATCAAGAGGCAGATAATGTGGCCAAAGCGAGATATAATTGGCCTGATAAAAATAGGTCCCGGACAGTAGAATATATTTAATTAGATAAAATTATGATAATCTGTAGGATTTCTGATATTGAAAAGCTTGTGTGAAAAGTTGGGCTAATTTTTTTTCTTTACTTTGTTTATATTTCTTTAAAACATGGTATTTATTATTTAAAATGGCTATGTATGTTTAAAGACTTTTAGTAACAAACTAAATAAAATACTTTGTACCCATATTATGCTCTATCTTCATAGATACCCAAATATATAACTTTCATAATATTTTAAGAGAAAAACAATTATGTCATACAGAAATACAAAGAACAGGTATCTCGTAAATAAATATTATACATGTAAAAATATATAAAAATTATCATGCCAAGTTTGAGTTAGAAACCTGAGAAGAAAAAAGAATAACTTATCCATTATAAACATTATTTATGTAATGAGATGTTTAATTACTCAGCAAGAATAGGGTAAGAAAGAAGATGGAATATATTAGTAAACAATGTGGTCATGAGAACCACTTCATAACAGATACCTTGTTTTCAAAAACTGATGTTATCCAGGTGTCATGCTTATAGGTATGTACAATTATATTTTCATAGCCATCTATTACTTTGGCATCGCCTTTGTTAAGAACAGATTTACAAATGGCCTTCTCAAGTTGCCCACTGCATGCCTGCATATGGACAGCTTTAATTCTTGGTTTGCATTTATCTGCATAGATATTGATGACAAATGGGCATGCCTGAAATGAAAGAAAAGCAAATCTTGTTTTAGCCTTTTGATAGAATTTAAAATAAATGATTTATTTCTCTTCAGCAAATGGTGTTGGGAAAACTGGGTAGCAGCATGTAAATCAATGAAGCTAGAACACTTCCTTACACCATACACAAAAATAAACTCAAAATGAATCAAAGACTTAAACATAAGATAAGATACAATAAACCTCCTAGAGGAAAATATAGGCAAAACATTATCTGACATACATCTCAAAAATTTTCTCCTAGAAGAAATAAAAGCAAGAATAAACAAATGGGACCTAATTAAACTTATAAGCTTCTGCACAGCAAAGGAAACCATATGTAAAACAAAATGACAACCTACAGAATGGGAGAAAATTTTGCAAATGAAATTGACAAAGGCTTGATCTCCAGAATATATAAGCAGCTCATACGACTTAGTAAGAAAAAAACAAACAACCCAATCCAAAAATGGGCAGAAGACCTAAACAAGCAATTCTCCAAGGAAGAAACACAGATGATCAATAGGCACATGAGAAAATGCTCAATATCACTAATTATCAGAGAAATGCAAATAAAAACTACAATGAGGTATCACCTCACACCAGTCAGAATGGCCATCATTCAAAAGTCCAAAATGACAAATGCTGGAGAAGCTGTGGAGAAATAACTGATGCTATCCAGGTGTCATGCTTATAGGTATGTACAATTATATTTTGTACATATATACAAGGGGACCCTCCTACACTGCTGGTGGGAATGCAGTTTGGTGCGGCCATGTGGAAAACAGTATGGAGATTTCTCAAAAGACCAGGAATAGACTTACCATATGACCCAGGAATCCTGCTCCTGGGCCTATATCCAGAAGGAACCCTACTTCAGAATG